CAAATGTAAAATCTGTTGATGAAGGGCACTGTGAATGAATATGAATACGTATTAGAAAATTACTTGGGAAGAATCTAAAGTGGATTCAATAAATATTTTCAGAATTAACTTTTCAGATCATTCAGAAAGGCGATAAACATCATAAGCATGGTCAAGCAGCTGAGTTCAAGAAGCGTGGCAAGAATGTCAATAAGATCAATCGAAGCAAAATTCTGAAGGAGCAACACTACCGAAGGCCATCCCCAAATCGTCCAAAAACTAAGAAATACCAATCGTGCAGTTGCAGTAGCTCATCACGATCGGGTGAATCTTTTTGCTGCAGTGTACACAAACAATGAAACACTACCAAATTAATTGGACTTGCGGACAATGACAGCGATTATTCACTCATTTTCATGGAATAATGATAATAATTATCATCATTGTTCCATGAAGTGTATCTATTGCTTGGCCTTTCCTCACAGTATGCATTTCGGCGAGTGGCCGAAAGTCTCAAGTCGTCGCCGAAATCGCCGAAATTCTCGGTGATCTGTTCTCTGTTCACGGCGCCCGCGCCCAATTCGGTATTCGGCTGTCTACCGATGCCAACGGTCGCCATTGCTGACAGTTATAATCATAAGGTTGTTAATGAAGTCCGTTCGACAAATTTGCGTCGAGTATGCTCACACCTGAACGAGCGATTTATTGCTCTTCTGCGCCACTCAATACCGTAACACATCTTTCCTTTTCACTTTTTGCTACAGTATCCATTGACCAATCAGCGTTGAGTTAGGGGTCAGTGAGCGAAAACACATCCACATACAGTAATGGCTTATCTGTTTACGATAATTTATGTGAATTTTATTATTTTGTAACCGCAGTTGTCATTCCTTAGCAAAATTCTTGACTGTCCACATTTTACAACGATGAATAATAATCATTCTGAAGAATCTGGCCTAAAACTAGATAGCACATCGTGATTCTCCTCTATAAACTAGTTCCAAGAAACAAATTTTAGATCGATTCAAGCTATTAAACTATCCGAAGATAGTTTTAACAGTGTTTCATGTTCTTTGCTTAACACCATGATATGCTTTCTCAAAAATTGATCCCAAATGAATAATGGCACAATACCTAACTTTCATAGATGAACAGCTGATAAACTTAATCGCAA